AAACAGCAGACGTCACAGCCACGAAAAGGCAAATTCCACGCAAGTTTAAAGCGAGCAGCCCACACCTTTTGTTTGAAACGTTGGTGCGTTAGGTTGGAACTATGCCGTCGTGGACACGCGTATACGTTCTGCTTAGTGCTGTGGACAGCCTGGCCTCAATCTCGACATTGTTTGACCGTATTGGACTATCTAATGGCACCTAGGTGATGGTAGTGGTCTGCTTTCTGGAATCCATACCCACGGCGGCACTTCAGCGCACTCTTGCCTCTGTGGAATCTGAGAAGCTTGAACCTCCCAGGTCCTGCGTAGCGTTGTGGTGTAAACGTTGGCCAACTGACGATTGAATTCAGAAATCGCAAGTGCGTCTTAGTGTATTTATCTGAATCGACCGTCTTGCGGTCGGAGAGCCAGGAATGACCGTTCCTTGATGCTGTGACCTCTATGACACTCTCACGTATGTTAAAATGTGGTGTGATCTGCCTGATTCCAAGAAATGTGGCCAAGAGTAAACGGACTGCTTAGCTCTGTGAGCTGCCTGAGTTCAAGTTCGAGAGCCGTGTGCTGACTGGCGTGGGTAACGAACTGATGTCTACAAAGGGAACGAGGAAGGGAGTTCGACTTTGTAGGCTGCGTCTTCACGAAACCTAAGTAAGTAGGTAATTTGAAAACTTCTAAATTATCACAGTGCAATGCTGCAGACGGATGGGATATTTAAGTCCCCTTAGGATAAAAAATGGTGAATTGGCGCTGAGTATACCCTGTTTAGTTTTTGAAGTCACGATATCGTTAATGCAGTGGATACCCTCCACATTGTCCTTTTACTGAATATTTCAAATTACGGCCACTATGTAGGAACCCAAGTAACAAATGGGATGAAGCGTCAGTTTTTAGTGGCAAAAATGTCAAGGGTAATAGAATTTACTTCAATTTATTCGCAAGTCCAGTATTTTCTATTTTAAGGTACAAATCATTTACTGAAAAACTTCAGTCATTAATTTCCACAGAAACATGTGCACCCGATATTTGAGCATTAATTAGACCGCGGAAACAAAATAGCGATATGTCCAAGCCATATTTAGTTTGGCTATAATAACTATTCCGCAATAATTGCTTTTACACATAGATGATTGTTGAATAAGAAACAAAAATAATTCACGCTATCATATCAAATTTCAGATCAAAGTATAAACGCTTCTGAGTCAGACTTGATTTCAGTGGGGAAATATTCTCTTTGTATCCCATCCAAACTTATATTATGAGTCCTTGTTTCTCAGTATTACCAAAGGTTTGCCCTCTAGCAACCAGAGTATTAACTAGTCTGCCTGCTTGTCAATTACCACAGCTGAAAGGTAGCGATATTGTTTATATGACATACTTCAGAGCCTAAGCTTAGCAGTTCCTTAAAATGAGCTATAATCTCTTAAATTTTGGTTTCTAAGAAGCTAATTGTAACTGTTTACGAAATAACGCAACTTCGACTGTATGCTTTTTAGACTAAATCACACTTATCTAGCACTCGCAACACATTTTAAGTGAAGTTTACTTGATGATGACCTACATGTTAATGTCAACTTGGCTATGAGAATTTGAACTTTGTGGACTATGCAATTGCAACAAAAGATGTCTGCTAAGTATAATGCAGAATGTTGGCCATTTTGACCTTTATTATCTAGGTCGCATATATCTGCACACTTAACAAACTGCCTTGTGTGATCCAGAATTTTGTTGGCAAAAACATTCGAGGTAAATCAACATATAAACATATATAGATCGATATTTTTTGTTTTTAGATGCATGATGAGCGTGCTTTGTGGATAATCGCACAACTAAGTTGTTGCCTAACTGTTTTAGTGCGAACGTCGAATATCTGGGCAGACAACTCAATGCTGTAATGCAAAGAAGGGGTTTCCGAGGATCCAGTCCCTACCCTCTATTGATGAAGCATGATAGACGCCCGCAATACTTTGTGATGCAGTCAGATTCAGTATTAAAAACCGACACCTGTCATGGATTCTTCTGGTTTATTTCGTATTCACAAGTAAACCACGACGTCTGAGTTTAACGTGCAGGACAAGAGAATGCTTTCGGGACATGCGCTCGAGAGGCCGCTTTCATGTGTTTAAATGACAATTGAGCACACACATTATATACTGTCATTGGCCTACCTCTGCTTAGTGACCTTTTAATTAAAATATGAATGGCCTTTGTACGTTAAGTGAAATAGCTGGCTGTAGCCTTACCCTTTTGTCTAAATCAGCTTTGCCTTGTTCTGCTTGTAGAGCTTTTCGCATACCGAAAGCAACACTTGATTCATAGAGTGTTTGATACGCGGCTATGGTCATCCGGATTTCATCGCGGACTCGTAGCAGAAGCAAACCTCTTTCCGCACAATTTATCGTAACTTGACGGATGAGTTCATCGAACACCTGCAGCTTCGCATATAATATGTTGTCATCAATTACCTGCGAATACAATTCACGTCGAACAGGACAAATACCCGTTTCTCTTGCTTGTCTTTGTTGCAACCTACGATCAAGCTCCTCTTGCAAATTTACCACATCAAGGCGAGTTGCTGGCGTGCTTGATACCCGCTGAATCCAAAGCTGACCATTCTCTGACCATTCCCTAAACATCATGTCTAACTGAATATAAAACAAACCTTGGAGGAAGAATTGAGTTTAAAATTTCATCTGTCTGTTGAGCAGTCTTTGTTTCGCAAGGATTTGGAGGAGGGCAACCTTTTTGACCGCTTCCTGGTACTGGACCAGCCTCTACTGTGGCCATGGGGGTACTTTTCAGGAGCGGAGCCTAAAATATAAAACACCTATTTCTTTTCATACATTCGGGGACTTTTTGTCATAGTTTTTGGTAACAAGCACGGGTGTGTCATATTTGACGAGTGAAACATTCGGAGGTATCATTTTCTGAGCCCTTTTAACAAAAGCGCGTTATGTGCTGTTATAGTTATGACCTAGAGCGACGATACATATATGGGTCAAAGTCAGTAAAGGTAAATAAGTACACTGTTTGGCATTTTAAGTAAAACAAAGTCTCTATGCAATATCCCAAGCATTTTCGAGCTAAAATATCGAAAGACTTTCAGTATTTACGTGGTGAGAAATAAATTTGTGTTGTATTGACCTATATCTCATCAAATTATTTGCATTTTTAGCAATTGGTTTGGCTCGACATTATTACTTTCCCATGACTTTGGATGTAGGATCGTAGATAAAAATGTCCCGCTTTGTTGATGAAACGAGTTAATATAAATAATGCGGATGATGAACTGAGTAGATTAGCATAAATATGGGTAGCTGGCGATTGTGACACCGGTACAGTATGAGGCAGTGCTCAGTTAAGTATATAGCTAGAATGTATGTGGGCACATACTAGCCAATCGGAGATCAGATTTAGTTATGAATCCAAAGACATGTTACAACGAATGATTTTACGTTCATCAGGATGTGGTAGAGGGTATTTGTAATTTGGCATTGATATATGGCATAGCCCGAAAGGCACTGTCATACAAACTTAGTTTCAGGATAAAATTACAACAGATAAATGTACAAATTTGTAATGATGGAAGCAGAAGTTTTCTTTTAGGGCAAGAGTTAGCAATGTTTTGGAATTAATGGTGATATAAAAAATGGAGAGTAAAAAAATACTCCTACACTGAAAATAGAGGCAAGAATCAACGGGCCTCCATTTTCAAAAAGAGTGTAGGAAAAAATGCTATGGGAAATAAAATAGACGCGTAGGCTAGTAGGCTAACACTGCAATAGCCGTTCAGTATGGGACAATAAAATGTGCGTATAGTTCACTCATGGTCGCTCATGCGCATGATATAAAATCTCGCGAAAAAGGGCTAGTTGACGTAGGACCTCGAAATCTCAGAAGCCACAATGAAATTCTGGATATGGTAAGGAGCCACAGGAACGTGAACAAGTTAGAGTGGGTACGTCCATATGACAGCTTTCTTATGGAGACATCTTGTTTCCAGCCTAAAACGAGGCTGAGTTTCAAGAGGATCTCATAAACTCCCGATGGTCCTTCCTCGGAGTCATGGACAAAGCTGCTCAGAAATAATGAGGAGAATATATGGTTAATACAATCATGGCTAAGATAAATGTGTAGTCTTCGGTTGAATGTTGACGGACTATATAACATCTAATTTCAATTGGCAAGTTATTTCTAAATCGGGTATATCTGATAGCATACAACCGAGAGCTTTTAGATGACGAGGATGCAGGAGGAGGTAAAAATAAATAAATAAGTAAATAAAGTTTTATATTTAAGGCCCGGAGGGCCTCGTCATTACAAACTTAGTGCTGTGGAAAAATAAATAC